GAAATCAAAATTATAATCCCTATTTTGGTTGTGATCGATCTAAGATATCAATATATGGATCTTCAAGCTAAATAGAATTGCTGTGAAAAGTGTTTACATGATAGAGCATTGGACTGGTTCTGGATATTCATGAACCAGTCATAGTACATTGGAGGACAATATTGAACACAGCCTGAGGAGGGGTTGGCTTTTTCTCTTTCTTATCAGCTTTAGCTTCTTTCACTTCTTCAACTTTGACAATGGCCTTGGTTCGGCATTTGTCACAGTGCATTGGCACACTCACTACTATCTTTTGCTGCACATAAAATTTGTACAAAATTATGTGTGAGCAATGATCATCTTATATATTCAATGTCACTTGCATAAAAAGGGAAAGTATGTGCCTATGTGCAATAAAATGCAGAGAATTTAAGTATGAAATGGAAGCATTAAATTTTATAGGCTTTTAAGTTTTTTGGGATGGAAAATTCTATATGAAAGTAGAACTATCGATCACTATGTTATGTACTTATTTTATAGGAGCCAGCTTCGTCCTACAATATTATTAGCTCTTGTTGTCTTGTAATTTTAAGTCCACATACACCTGCACGGTTTGGTAGACTTTGTAATGACAATGGTACATATTCATTTATTATCATTATTGTAAACCAATTACCGACAGTCATGTTTTTTGTTTTTTGTTTTTGTTTTTTTTTTTCCGGGTTGTATGGCATGGATTAGGCCAGTTAGTTAGGGTAGCAAACTCTTCTCCTTGCACCCAAATTCGATCTCCATTTTCAAATTACAATAGTTTAGACTATCGATTATATAAACACAATTACCAAATTAATGTATATTTATTGTTGGTGAATCCTTATCTAGTTAGGATTTTTTTTTTTTTTGGTTTGAACCACGAGGTGGTCCTGGATGGGCCCCAACTATGGGTGGCACCTTTAAGCCTTAACCACAACCCAGACTAATCCCCGCTCACACCGGGTCGGCCCGTAAGGGGTAAAGTGCTGGCCAAAGTGGTGACTCCATACGAGAGCAGGGATCGAACCCCTGACCTTCTCTTAAGGAATGAGAGTGCCGAACCACTCACACCAACCACCTTGGTTTATCTAGTTAGGATTTTGGTTCCTTATTAAATTAGGATTTTGATTACTTACCTATTTATTTAGTTATATTGTAGTTAATATTTATTTCCTATTGTAATTTAAAATTATAACTTATTGTATTTAGGGTTACCGCATCTTTCTACTTATTTATAAATACCTTCATATATGAGATATAGTACTCACCAATTTCTAACTAGTGAACCTCCGATACAACTAAATAGTGGAAGAAATTCGTTTATTTATGGAGGAGCTGAAGGATGAGGAGCTGAAGGATCGCCCTGGTCCGTCGTATAAGTCAAAGAAAGTCCTTTATTTATGTTTCGGCGAGTATTTTCCGGGCACTTGGGTTTATTACTCTATTCACGCCTTTAATTTGGAGAAAAATTGTCATATACTTCCATTGGCAGAATCCATTGAAGTGGCTAAAACAATAAGGTATGTTCCCGTAATTATGGGTTCTGGTTTCTACGGCTCCATGATCATTTTGGCAGGCGGCATTAGACCGGGATTCGATGGATTAGCCAATTTCATACCACGTCCGTGTAGCGAAGTTTATGCGTTTGACACTGCGATTATGAATTCACATCTACCCGTTATGATACAGCGCCATGGTCTCCTTCAACACGGGAAGACTAATCCCCTCGTGGTAGAGCACAAGGACAATTTATATGTTCTCTCCCTGTTAACAGGTGAGGGGTTCGAGATGTTCGACCCAAAATATAACACATGGGTGACTTTGCCCGAGCCCCCATTTTTCCACAGACGCTACCTTGGACGCGGCACCAATTGTGTTGTTGTAGGCAGTAATATCTTTGTGTCATGTTTGTCTAGTATCTACTGCTTTGACATGGCTGACACCAGCCAAATATGGAAAGAGCACTCTTTTACCAACTGCACTGCATTGCCTCACACATTAGATGAGAAAAGTTTAGCGCTGGAAATGAGTGACGGGGATTGGCTGATTTTTACATGTTTCCCAGAATTTGGTTATGACCCTGATGAAATCAAAGACAACCCTTGCTGCGACGAGTACGAGTGCAACAACTCTAATGTGGATGATTATCCTCCTTATCGTCATCAGCATGAGCCTGATCGTCATTATGAGTGGCGTGGTACATCTTTGCCTGCCTATATCATGTCAAAGGACTTTACATCACTCACACCTATTCAACCTCTGTGCTTGCCTGATGATCTGTTACCTACTGAACCAGGCTGTGAAAGGTTGCGTGATCTGTATACGGCTAAACCCCGTGAAGTAGATTATAGGATCCTCCATCTAGGAGGTCAAGAGATATGTCTGGTATTGTCTATCGACACTGGATTTGAGCCCAACGGCAAAGTTTTGAGGAAGATGCCGATTTTTGAGGAAGATACCATCAATACAATAGAAAAACACTGAGAGTGAACCCTGTTAGTGATAAGTTAACAGAAGTTAATGTGATAGGAACATGTACAACATAGACCGCCAAATGTACCTATAACCGAAGGAAGACTAGTTAAAGATAAATAAGGGCATGTACGATGATGAGGCTTAGCTATCAACATCCCTAAGGAAAGGACAATCACTCATTATGTGAGACACCTGGCCAGGCTTGAGGCATGCATGGTTCTCCCATTACGATTGGCCTTTTTATTTTCTGCCTGCGATGTAGGCAAAATCAAATAGATCTCTAGATAATGATCCACTGTCAATCACTCTTGGTCTTCACCTCTTAAGTTCCCAGATTTTCTTCTCACTTGGTAGTTGGAATTTAGATCGCTATTTTCTGTTCACAAATACTATGACCGTCCCCCACAGTGCATTTCTATTATCTGTGCTATGTCCACAAACTCAAAATAAGAAGTCACCTTCAGAGTTGAGACTTTTATAACGATGCTTCATCTTAGACTCCGCGCAAATTTTATACAGAGATCACATGCCACAAGTAAGGAGTAAAATGCACTCATCAAACCTAGATAATTATTTATGCATTTCGTAGCTCCTCTATACCAACTGTACCAACTTCATGAACTTCAATTCCTTGTGGTCCCACACTCCCCTTGTGAAGTATTTCCGATGAAACCTTTCCTTGAGGCTTATCATTATCATATGTACTCATAAAAACTGCCTGGTGTCCCATCCAGCCTAAAATACTGTTGCACTAGATTAGCTAGACTCTGTATGACCTTATAAAGCCTTTCAAGAACTTCAGGTGTTGAGCCATAACACGAAAACCTAAAGTCATTATGCTACTTCCCTTACCTACATGAAAAATCACGTAATGCTCTCCTAAACTGCAATCTCAAAATCCAACATTAGGCTCTCAATATAATCTTAACAAAATTCAAGAGCACATTTTCTACTGAATTACGACAATTGACACAGGTGCCCTCATACAACAATTGTCAAGAGCATGTTTAAAAAAATTGAAACCCCTATATTATCTAGCGTTTCAATCAAAATTCAAAATTGAAAAATTGAAAAAGCTATGAACTATTGAATACTAAAATCTACAATGAATGAACAGAGGCAACAGACCTTGACGACAAGGGGTGAGAGAGAATGCGTTTGGATGCTGGAGAGCGAGAACTGAAAAGTCGGCCTAGGCGGGTGGCTAGGCGGCTAGGCGGGGGCTAGGCGGGCACTAGGCGGCTAGGCAGGCGCTAGGCGGCTAGGCGGTGGCTAGGCTGCTAGGCGGTGGCTCGGCTGGTAGGGTCTTTTTTCGGTGCCGAACCCGGAGGACGAAGCGGTGACTGGGAGAGAAAGTTCCGTCCTCTGCGAGTGCAAGCTTCGTGTTCGTTCGAATATATTTAAAGAGTATAGCCGATCGGCTGTACTTTCAAAATATGCGAAAGTATAGCCGTACGGCATCATTTTTGCTTTGTCCAGGGCACGTGCAGCATCTGCTATGAGAGCTCTTGCCTTTAAACTCAAGGAAGGATGCAAAATGCGGAGTTCTGAACAAAAGAAGTCCCGCGAATTTCCAGATGCAGGTGCATTGAAGAGTGAGGTTAACAACGTGGAAGAGGTGTGCAGAAAAATAGGGGCTTCGATGAGAAGCCTCAGAATCAAAATCACGTTTTGTACAAGAACTCATTGTTTAATGATGTTGAGAAAGGTATTCTATGTTTACTTGAATTTTTTTTTTAACAAATTGATTGTGTAACATACAAACATAGCTTTAAATTACATATTACATATATAAATGCACTTACCCCTGGCAATTGTGGCTTCTTGTTTTCGTGTTTGTTTAGCTGTGGAGTTTTATTTTAGGCTTTGTTCATACACAAAACTGAAGCAATTTTCTTTAAAACTTTATAGCATCTCCAGAGCTGGAAGATCAGATTGATCATCTTTCGGGGGATGTAGGCTTTGAACTTATGGAAGAACCTGAGGAGGTTTTTGAAGAGTTAAATACTCATCAAGTGCAAAATATGTTATGATAGGATGTATTGCATGATGCTGAGAAAGTGGCAATAAAATTACTTGCAGCCAGGTTAGAACTTCCATAACTTCAGAGAACTGCTTGGTGTAGTGCTGCTAGAATGTCTAAGGCAGGAATTCTTCTGAGGTACATGATTTTGCCAAGATACCTTTGGATAGCAGTTTGAGGGATTGGGCATATGTATTCCTGGAGTTAAGATGCTATAGAAGTTTCAAAATAAGGATGTTTGTGTTGGCGTGACTTGTGGATATTGACTTACTTTCCTTACACACCAAGGATTCCTATTTTATTTGTAATTGATTTACTTTAATTCCTGATTTCCTACTGTAAATAGATTTAGGAATTTATTATTTACTTGCCCATTCAGGTTTTGTTGTATTATAAATATGACCTCCTACAAGGAGAAGAATACATAGAAAATTCCCACAAACAAATATTCTCTTATAGTTTTCATATTTTAGCAGACCTCATCTTTGGTTTTCAGATTCTCGCTCCTCCCTGCCTTTCAATCTTACAAGGTTGTTTGCTCTTCCAATCAAGGTAATAATCTCAACCTATCCTTGCTCTTTATTTTAATTTTTTTATATAGCAATTTATGATTTCAGATTATACATGGTGGGAACCAGACCTCATCTTTGGTTCCTTCTGTATATTTGTCATCACTCTGTATCTTGTAATTTTGGTCTATATTTGAGAAGAGGAATTGGGTCTGAATGCTTCATCAACTATTTAGAGAGGAGTGCTTGCAGAGAACATTATAGCCGTGTTTGCAGAGAACATTATATAGTCTTTATATATTTGATTTTTCATTTTCATTTGGGTCTATTGGTTGATTTTGAGTTATAGACAATAAAAAAAAAAGAGAGATAAAAAACAGAGAACATAAAAGATTTTATAGAAATAATAAGATTAGAAAGAGAGACCAAAACATAGAATAGAAGCATACATGGTCATCCTACAAGTTAATAATAGTCAAATTGTACATGGTCATCCTATAAGGTAATAATAGGATACAGTAAATTCTTCTGATTTGTTCTTTTTCATTACTGTGTGTTTGATTAGGCATAATGACATATCATGAGTTTAGACTGTTGTATGTGGTCTATTTATGTCAATTGCCTGTGGGTCAATGGAGATTGTTCCATCACTTTTTTTCTCTCTTTCTCTCATATGTAAATGGGGCAAATTAACTTTCTTTTGTGTTTACACAGCATTGAAGATTCTTTTCAGATTGGACATGAGATTGCATCTGAAATTACTGCTATGAAACCAAATCCAATTGTTTGGAAGATGGAAAAAGTTTATAGCCCGTGCTTCCTCCTTATTAAGAAGCGTTATGTTGGTTACAGTTATGAAAGCCCTGAACAGATTGCCCATGACAGTTCGCAGGGATACATGTGGGGCTGTTGCCAAGACAATGGAGCAGTCTTTGAGACTTTTTTTTGAACATCAGGATATGTATGAGGTACAAAAGCATGTGCTATTCCTTTTGATTGTACTTGAACTGGTTTGATAAAATCAAGGGTGAAGAGCAAAAGATAGGACGTCCATTGGTTGTAAGTCAATCCATGTTCCCATGTTACCTCTTTAGTTTCATAGATATCTTGTATTTGCCCTGAGTTTTTTTTCCTTAAAATAGCTTTTACTGGTGGTTGACTTGATTTCCACGGTTAGATGATGACCTTTGTTTTTTTTACACAGGTTAGAGCATACTTACAGCGTCAATGGAAGCGGATTCTATCTGGAAGGGTGTCTCTTCAGGATTTTGTATTTGCAAAGGAGGTTCGCCTTGGCACCTACCGTGCTTGTATCTATTTTTCTGTTCTTATTTCATTACTGTCTGTCATGTATTGCCTTCTTGATATATTTGATTTAACACATTGACTAAAACTTTGTTTTGGAAACAGAACTAGCTCTGTTCTTGTTTTGGCAGGATAAACAAACAATGTTATTATTAATGGGAAGTAGCAGCAGCCCAGCATTAGTGAAGATTCAAAGGAAGCTATGAAGCATGCATTCGAACTCTTTAATGTTCGATTGGAAGTAGACTTTGGGACTAGTGATATAGGACATAGCTTAGGATTGTAATGAATATTTGTAATTTATTACATTTGTCTTTTATTAATGATGATATATACTATTCTTCGAACAACAATTTCTCAATTGAAATATTATTTATATTTTTTGACAAAATATTTGTACGTTTAATGCTTATAAATGTAGTCGGAAAAACTTTTTTTCGACAAGCTTCCATGTCAGAAAAGCACAATTCCAACGAATTATATTTATCACAAATAGTAATCTAGGGTCGGAAATACTATTTTCGACAAATAGTCATTGGTCGAAAAAATAGTATGGCAAGAACAAAAGATCTCGATAAAAAATTATTTCCGATAGGTTCGCAAGTATTTGCGACCACATTTATTGTTGGAAATGAATTTGTATGGTCGTTTTGAAAATCTATTTCTGATAAAAAAAAAATAGCAATATCGACGAAATATGGGTGTCGAAAATACATTATTTCCGACGGAATGGTCGGAAAAAAAGTATTTCCAACCGGCGTTTTAGCGACGACTTCCGACGAACCTTTGCCGTCGAAAAAGCGAATTTCCGACGGCAAAAGGCTTTTTGCGACCACAAAATACCCTCACTAAAGGCCTTCTGTTTTGTAGTGCGAGGTGATACACTTCATCACCAGACGCACCCACGATTGATCAAACCCCATTTTCAGCAACACTGCATTCACAAAATCCCATTCGATTCTATCATAAGTCACAAACTTTTGAAGAAACATTTGTTTGAAGTTATGAATGCATTTACGTAACAATCTATGAAGTAAGTTCCCTCTGTCAGTGGCAACAAAACAAGTCAATTTTGTCCTCGCGGCCATGCGCGTTCTCTTTGCTGTCCCACAGCATTTACACACTATAGTAATTTGGTGGAGTACGTACTTGAAATTAAGACTAATATTAATACGCGTCTAATATACAAGATTTAGAAACAAAAGTTGACAATTATGCAACATAAGATGGATCCTCCAAGGCTTATTACAACGAACGAGAGTACGTTTCATCATCAGGCCGCCTGTGAGATTTCATACGCAATTAACAAAAATCATTATTGAAGCATATGAAGTGGTAAACTTTTTGTTGTTCGTTTTTCTCTGTTAGTTTATAGCCTTTGGCTTTAGCTCAAGGTCCCCAACATAATTGGATGTTAATCAAGTGTTTTGGTCGCTAAACTAATTAATCAGTATTCACGGTGATGTTTATTCATGCATACTCCATCACCTCTTAGTGCTGCACAAATGATGAGTAGCGCTAGTTGAACGAGTCAAATGAAAATCCATTCCACCATTTTATAAGTGGTAATTTTGAAGTAGTGATAGCTACTTAATTAGTTCTTTAAACCTAAGTAATTATTGTGCCGTAATCAAGTAGAAGACCCCATTTTACATTTGGATTATGGTAATTGGGTATGATCAGTTTGTATGACACTATGAGATTTTATGTTTGGCTTCCTGTGTGTGAATCGTCATGGGTCTCGTAGCTTGATGTTGATGGCAAGTCTTCCCATGAACTCCCATAATCCGTGACGTTTTTGCAATCTTTGTCTAATTAATTAAAATTGATGTTTCTGAAACTTCCTGCTTAAATCCAGACTTGTTTCTTTGTATGTTCTCATTTTCATATTATAATTGACTTGGAAATTACATCACAGAACCCCTATTACGTAGAACTACCAAAATAACATTTGCCGAAGCTCATTTTTTATTTATAAAAGGTAGTAGAATGTGGGTCGTATTTAGCCCAAAACTAATTGGTAATAGGTAGTTTCAACATCTTTTAAACTATTAATGTAGAGACTTCTATTTTCGACGAATGATAATACTCTAACATGCCCCTCCCTTCCACCTCCCCCACCCCTACTGTGTGACATCACCCAAACTAAACAAGTGGCCAATACATATTACAATATATTGAGTAATGTGGAAGCATGTGTTGTCGTTGGGTTCAATACGTAGAAAGTCTGCTCTAATATCATAATAGAATGTGAACATCCGACTCAAAATCAATTAACAATATTGGGTAGAAATTTTCAACATCTTTTAAACTATTCATGCAAAGCTTTCATTTTCAGTGTGAGAATACTTTCAAATGCTACTATTTTCTGCCGAGTTGTATCTATTCTGTGGATTGCTCTGTTTACCATATAGGCTTACCGCGTGAAGTTGATGATGACCGACCCACATGTAAACTTGACTCAAAATTAGAGATCAATGCATCCAGCCCAAGCAATCCATAACCAAAATGTGAACCTGAGGAAGAGTCGAGCCACGAAAATAAGAATCATTTGAGAGAGAGAGATAGAGAGAGATAGAGAGAGATGTCCTTGGAGGGATGCTTCCTTTACATCATGGGTAAATTTTCTGTGAAAAATACCAAAAGGGTCAATTATTCTGTGTGTTTCTGGTGACCCAATTTCAATTGTTCATATTATTCTTGATAGTGACCCATAACGGACTTGTGTGACATTTGCTTGCCTGTGAATGAAGAAGAAAAAAAAATGTTTAAGAAGCTCTTTCTCTTTGCAGGGCTTTCACAGCAGTTGAACTGAGAAAGAAACTACATGGAAATAACTTTAAACTCTAGATACCGTTGAGGCAGTGATAAATGACTTCATTAGCAGGTACATCTAGTCCTGAGAATGTCTTGTGTTGAGAGTGCTCATCAGCCAATTATCTGGAAATAACCATGTTTGAAAACTCCACATGCTTGAGTAATTATTCCACAATAAGCTTAGAAACTGGTTCTACATGCAATGCAAGTTGTAAGACGGATTCAGTTACTACTCAAAAGATGTACAAGAAAAATGGATTACAAAGATCTGGAAGTATTATTTACAATTCTATAAAAAAAATTGTGGTCCTATACTTAAAAGTCTGGTAGACCGTAGTGAATTAGTTTTGCTGACTAACAATCATGTCAATGGTTATTGTCAATTTTCATATCTCATTAGCAAGAGGCTGAAACTTTTCAATTGTAACACCGCAGGGGATTTCTCAGCACCCGGATATACCTTCCCATTCTTTTCTTGTTCTAGATGGTCTTCCTTAAGTTGGGGACCATACTATTTTTCAGTATAATAGAAATTTGTTAGATTGAAATGTTGAAGGACTCAGATTGTCATGTTAATCCTTGTTTTTCCACGGTGCAGCCTGATTTAAGAAAGAGTAGCTGTGTTGATATTACACTAGGTAGTCAGCTCTTGTTGGAGTCTTTATTTGTTTTAAAAATCTGATCTAGAGCAATAAAGAAGAATGAAACAAGTCAAGATAATGAAATGTCTGTTTTTATGTAATGAAGCATTGTTGTTGGATCAGGCACTTTTCAGCAAGGGAGTGAGTAAACTTGATGTTGAGAATGCAATTAAATTGGTTTTTGAGGAGGGAGAATCAGATAATGATCAGAAGTTAGTTCATGGCCTGTCAAAGCTCTCAATGGATAATTTACTTGTTCAGCAGTGGCTTCGAGGTCAAGAAGTGCCTAAAGAGACAAGGAAATCAAGGATTGTCCGTTGGCTTCAGTATCGTGGATTCAGCTGGGATGTTATTGGCTTTCTATTAAAGAAGTTAGAATCTCAGTACCCACCCTAGTCCATAACCATCAACTGAAATGTTGTGTAGTATGGACAGGGTTTGGGTCTATAATGTCACTTGCTGCTGTGGCTAGAAAATTACTCACTTTAGCCCTTACCAGTACTGGACATAATGTTGCGTTAACCTACCATGCCACCACCTAGTTTAGGTGGGGCGAAGTCTACTTTAATGACAACATAGCTAGAAGACGAGCAAGAAGTGGCACTATTTGGCTGTTTTTGATAGGAAACACCATTTATGGCTGAATATTGAAACTATTTTGTATTCATGTATTGTTTATATTTACCTCAATGAAATTTTGTTGTTTGTGTTGCTGTATTTGAAAATAATTACCTCTAATCAACCTGCGGATAGTAAGATCACATGCTCCACTTTTCATGTGTTTGTTTGTATTGTCCATACTCACTGTAAGAACCCTTAGATTTGCTTCGATATTTTAGGGTGTTTTTGGACCTCTTAAGAAAGTACTTAAACTTAGATATCTGCAATATGCTCATAAAGTGAATGCAAATGCATGTGCAGCTGTAATGTTATGGAACAGTTTACTTGTTTTTTGTATTACAGGTATAAATAATGGTCCTGCTTTTGTACATGTGCTTTCTGATAATGAGAGATGAAAGTCTTCTAATCCAATATTAGTATTTCTTTGCCGGAAAGTCTTGCTCAGATAAGCACAGGGACATGTGAGCATTGCTGGAAAGAACAGATGTCATGGAATGGAATCTCATTGTTTTAACACTTCTACTACATACCCTGCATTTACTCTCACTCCTCCGGAAGACAGTTAAGACATCACATATTCCCCCAGAGACCATTCTTTCTTAGTGGGGAGGCATTGATTATTTCAATCTACAAGAACTACATATAATTAAAATCTAAATTTACACTAAAATTCTTCCTCTATATTCTTCCTTGTTCTATGGGATTTTGATTCTCCCAAGATAATATTGAAAATGGTACTTAAGTGACGAGGGGTAAATTTAAAAGATATTCAACCAAGAACGCAGCAAACTTCACACTCTAGACCTTGACCAAATACTCTTATGACTAGTCAACTGTCATATATGAATTATACCAAACAATAACATACACAGAGCATACAAAGATGTACCTGCAAGCCTAGAGAATTACTAGTGACAACCTAGGCACTCAGAAGGACCCGTCAATCTAGGCATCCCATGTGCTAGCAACAACTATAGTGAAAGTGTGTGAAGACAGCATAATCAAGCAAACACCAAACAGCAAAAAAAGATGACTAGTCAACTGCACAAACCCAGATGACTAGTCAACTGTCAAGAACACAAACCCAGAAAATTTACAGAGTTGGAAACCAGAAACCCACCATTGGGAAAAACTGGGGGTCATCAACCGACCAGGCAATCCACTAAGTAGAAAAAGATTCTTACAAAGGAACACAAGCAAGCTCAAGAAAAACCTAGATCTATTTAGGAAGATGAGCTATACCT